CGCGATTATTTTCAGCATATATTGGTGGTTCTGCTCTCTTATAGTATCTTGTAAAGTTCATGCCGTCCAAACCGGGTTGGCTCGCCAGCTGAGTTGCCGACGCATCAAGTTCATCAAGTATTGTCACAAGCTCACCACTCGGGCGGTGTTCCTCCAAGAAAGAAGCGTACGAGATGCAGAGGCTGACTGCTGACCAGAAGACCTCGTGATCGAGTGAACGGGGATGCAAAATCTTCAATTGTAGGACAGAAGAGCGAAGAAGGGCCAGCTGTGGATCGAACTGAGTGTGGCAAGAATCAAGCAGCATTTCCCACACTTTCGGACTTTCCAGATAGTCTTTGACTGTCCGATGAAGATATTGCACTGTGTGATCAGCGAGGGTAATTTCAGGCTCTTTGATGGCACGACGGTCTGGGGTCTCTGACAGCATGCTCATAGCGTTGAGACTGGTCGCCAAAGATTTGACTGGACTGGGCCCAGGTGCGACTTCAAGGAGGCCTTTACATCTGCTGTTCAACCTCCGTTTCATCAAATCCGCCCTGAGAAGTCGTTGTTCGCGTGTTAGTGGCTGGACCTTGCTCTTGAAAAGGTATTCTTCGTCTTCATCAGCAAATGATAGGCATAAGATGGTTGGTGGCGAAGTAGACGACCTAACCAGCTGAAATAGCTGGGAGGCGTGCTCAAGATAAAACGGGTCCAGGCTTTTGAGCATCTTCTGGTATAAGTTCTCAAGATCCGGGGGTAAGAAATCTAACCGTCTTTTCAGGTCCAAAACCCGGTCTGCGTTCCCGAAGCCAGCCAACAAGGAGTGAACAACCAAGTTGACCCAGAGAAAAACTCCGGATGCTTTCTGTGTAATTTCTTCGATTAATTGACTTGCGTATTCCGGCTCTTGTCGCTCTAGCTCAGCAAAACCAGAATGAGCGAGGAAGTGTGAGCTGACATAAGCCTGTATATCTCGATATGTGAGGTCTTGGACTCTCAGACTGGATCGATCCCTAAAAGCATCCTCAAATTCTACCCAAGGGCGGCTGGATACGCAGATTTTTATGTTCGGTGACGAGTCAATGTCTTTAAGAAGACTGATCAGGTTCATAGGATCACCGTCGAATTCGTCTAGGCCATCAATAAAAAGACAAATCCTCTTGTCATCGAGATTGTCTGCTGCCAGGAGCTTGAATCCATTGCGAAGTTCGGCCAAAGTCCAAGGTTGTGGATCATCGCCGAAAAGAACGGACGACTCCCAGCGCGCAGGAAGTACTATCGGGATGAGGCCTGGGCAATTTTTGAGAATCTGATGGAAAATAGATCTTAGGAGACCAAGCTGTGACATTTGCATTTCAGAGCCAGAATTCCAGAAGAAGAACGCTGCCGTATGAAGGGCTTTTCCACCGCACCATTCCTCCAGACCGTCAAAGGTTCGCTGGTTGCTGTAGATATATTTCATCAGAGTCGATTTTCCGGATCCTGCTTTACCCGTAATCCAGTAAAGGTTAGAGTCGCTGGTTAGCCATTTGGTGAAGCTAGACCACGGGGGAATGCCCTCTTCGCGATCTTGGTATAGCCACTGAAACGTGGTCTCGTGGGCCTTGGAGATACGATTGTGACGATCTTCCATGTCGTCAAAGTGCAGTCGGCGAAGCAGCAGCGTCTGTAGGTAGACTTCCCTTTCTGGCTGTTGAGTGGCGCCTTTCATAAGCCCTCTTTCCTCAGCATTCGCTTTATCTTGATGAATAGCGTGAATAATATCGGCCTTCCACGTTCTCGCTGCTTCTTGAATGAGACCAAGGAACTCCTCGCCAACGCCCTGCATTTTGTCGTCAATCCTTTCGACGCATTCTGAAACCGAGGCTTGAGTGCTTTTCAAACCATCTATCTGGTCCCTGAGCAAGTAAGTATGTTTGAAGATACGGGCTGGGTATGCATTTTACCGCAACGACGCCAATATGCGAACAATGAGTTGCTGTCTGAACCTATCGATGCTCATCTGCATCTCCTCAATTTCAGTCTCTTTCCAAACAGCCTTCAACGCAGCTCGGATAGTGTTCCATTTGCCATGTTTGCCTTGGAACTTCAAGGTTCCCAAAGCAACAAGGAGCTTCGCAGCGGCAGTCTTGCACTGCTTGGCGAGTTCCAGCAGCCCTTGCTCGTTTGAAGTCAGTTGACGATGAGTACTCGAAAACGTGATAGATCTCTCGAGATCATCAATGACTTTTGAGAGATCTGCTGTAATATTTCCGTCGGCCTCGTTGCCATCCAGGTCGCCGCGAGCTGACTTGTGGAGGCGGTAGCCGGCTGAGAAGATCTTGGTGCCAAATTCGACAAACGTAACGACATTGGCGGCCACACTGAAGGCCGCAAATGCTTCTGCCATGGCTATCGATCCGAGCTGTTAATCGCGGGTTGGGATAGAAACAAAAGAGATGGTTGATGAGACTCAAGCCTCGAGATGTGGGAGTTGGGTGGGCAAGGCTGTGGTTGGGGCTGGGGCGAACCGGCAGACCTGCAGGTCTCAGAAAACTCTCGGCAGCCTTGAGCCTTGCACGGCCAGACATAATTTGGAGGTACATTTCGACTCAAATCTGCCTCGCGCAGTATTGACGGGAAAGAGGGAGACGAAAAGGGCCGGGTGAGAGGTTGGAATCCCGCTTATCTAAACGAGCAACCCATTTGCACAACACATATCAATGGTGAAATGTAATTTCTTGCGAGATTGAATTGAACTGGATGGAAAGCATCGTTCATGTTCACCGTTATAGAGTTTTATTGGTAAGAGCAAACACTCTGGCTTAGACACGTTGCTGTCAATTGTGGGATACCCTGCCGCGAAAGCACCAATCCGCTTCACCATGCTTGAAACTGTGGCTGCATGAGCCGAGCTACGCCCTGCTTGCTGCCTAGTAAAATTACTTTTTTTTATGCTTAACATTAACATATATATCCCTCAATCGCCATGTATTTGAGTCGGCAGTCCGCGCAACTGTGACACGGTTAAGAATGAAGCCATGGCCACTCCCAAAGGCGCACAGCTTGAAATCGAATACGCCCAGTTCATTTCAGAAATCGCGCATGGATCTGATCAATTAAAGCATCAGATAGCTAGAGGTCTCGACAGGTTCAAGTCCTTGGACGCCTTTTTGAGAATCGGTGACCTTCCCAATGGACACTCCCACAGCGAGTCGAGAATTACGACCGTCACTTTCCAGAACGACGGCAATTGCAAAACCCGTGAACTTACAACGTGGATGAATGATCTGCCAGAAGAGGTAGAAACCGGCATCGATCCCAAATTGATCATTGTCGAGAATCTTTCACCGAAGGCCATCAGAATGCTGGGAGGCCAGCTGAAAATTGATCCTCTATTCTTCTCGGGCTACATTGATGCAATGCCATCCATGTTTGACGTCACCAAGACTCCAGTTGGGAAGCGACCAGAAATTATTCCAGTTCCATGGTACAATATCGAGCAGGTCGAGCCAAGTATCCCAATGCTCGCTTCGCTGAAATCAGAGAGCAGCCATATTATGATTCGCTTTGTTGGAGCTAGGGAGTATGAAGGCGGGCTGAAGCACACACGGTTGAAGGAGAGGATCGATCCAGATCTTACGAAAATGAATGTTGAGAGGACGGCTGGGCTGCATGTGCCGATCCAGAGGAATCACAGGTCCTTTGAGAACATTGCCCTGACGCGGCATTGCACTTCCGTTTGGTTGAATACAGTCAGGCCAGCAAAGAAACGACAGCCCTTGTGGACGAGAGGTACGTCGCCTAGTGATGACGAAAAACTTTGTGGAGCATGGGCTGATCCACTGTTTAGGAGTTGTACTACTTGACCCCGCATTCGAAGTCGACGATCCCGGAAGTGCACTGTATGGGACAAGGAAGGAATCAATATATAGATCATTTGTATCCAGACCTCAACCTTTTGAGCTAGAGCAAAGAGATATAGACTCCAGAGATTCCTACAGGGACTCACTCGTACATTATTTAGTGCACAAGCAGGCACCGGGAGCCGGGTTTCCCCACCCAATGCTTGTATTGCAAGGAATCGCTCGTATCATCGCGTCCGAATGGCTTGTGGTCAACACCTATGTTGAATAATATCGAGTGGACTTTGGAGACCGAAAATGTGACACTCGAAATCTTCGAGAGTTTCATAAAACATCTCTTCATCTTGCGCCGCCGCATCAGGAAGTACCAAACATTAGTCGACGACCAATTGCTCCTGTTTCAACACAGATGCCCGTTTCCTGGGCCACCTACAGAGAAGAACACGTGTTTGAAGGGATGAAAGATGACTTGGTTCAAGTTCAAAATGCAATCGGAAGGAATGCCAACCGGATCTCGCAGGCTCTGGAGCTGATCACGTCGATCATGTCGGTTCGCGAAGGGGAGACTTCAATGGTGCAGAATCAAACATTGGGTTTTTTTTGACGATTCTCGCGACAGCGGCTTTGCCGTTCAATACGATTGCTACGATTGCTACGATTGCTACGATTGCTACGATTGTTGGGCTGCAGACGAAATATGCATCTGGAGAAGCGAGATGGGGGACTTATTTGATTGTGTTGTTTACCACTGTAGTGATCATTGGTACAATCTACTTTCTCTTTCGCTTGTATGCGTGGATGGGAGGACATCGAGTTGGGTTGAATTGAGTAGAGATTAATGAGATGTCGAGAACGTTCAATGATTCGAAGGAGCTGACTTGCTTCAATGACTACTTATACTATGTTGCATAGTCTGAGACATACCTTGTTGAAACTTGAACCCGACCTGTTTCGGCAGTGAGAGTTATCGGCGCATTTCGCTTGAGCTTGTTTACTTTCTCCATAGCTCGGCTCGCTTGGATGCAAGGTGAAAAATTGAAGTGGGTATCTCCACATCAATGGAGACAGAAAACCCCCTCTCTTAGAATAGAAAGCTTGAATAAATTGAGGATTTTAGAGGAAAAAGAAAAAGAGCAAAAGAAGAAAAAGAAAAAAAAAGCATCGAGCTTGCTCCCTCGGGTGGGCTCGAACCACCAACCTCTCGATTGATCTGCTGATTTAACTTAACAGTCGAACCTGGATGATTATTAGATGTTGATTATTTCAAAGTGTTAGTGATAACTTACGCGCTAGCCAATTGCGCCACGAGGGATGTTTTCTGTTGATATGATTGGCTGTTCTTATTTGGTTATCTGTACCGGATTGTGATTTTGTGAATTGGTGGTTGTGGGATAATAGATGTGGGGTTGGTGTGACATGTGGAGACAGAAGACAGGGCCGAGTTTCGGTGATAGGTGACTTAGATCCGAGAAGTGAGTGCTGGGTACTTGGTAGTGAGGAGATTTGTAGAAATTGAGACAGGATTTGTGAGAATTTGTTGTCGCGAAAATGAATTGAAGATGAAGGTTCCAAAAGCAAGGAGGAATTGCCATGGGTGGCAGAGTGTCACGTGGCACATTGTCATCTTGGAAACGTTGCGACATATAGAGTGGACTTGCGACTCTGATAGTATTCATGCCTAGGCTGAAATTATCCTTTCAGCTATATGTTTGTTAACAAGATAGACAAAAGCAACGCAAGGACTGGTTGTGGACGTAGATGTGCTTTTAGTACTACCAGGCGTCGAAGCGACTTGGGTCCACATTTCTCCCCTCGTCATAAGCCAGTTGAACTTCCGCCATCATGCGTTCCATGCGATCCTCTTCTTCTTCCGACCACTCTTTATAATAAGCCTCCGGTTGTGGCAATCCTGCCTCAGCTGCAAAAGTATTCGAGGCGAACAACTCAAAGGTCATCATCTCATCAAACTCTAGTTGTCGCATCTGGATCTCGTCCACATTTTCACGACACTGGCCGATGGGATCGCTGAATTGCCATGCCCATCGTCCGATCTGAATATACTGGAGTGAGGGACATCGACGCTTGAAGAGCTTGGCGAAGCGCTCTGCTATGTCTCGTGGTCGTTTGACACCGGGCCACAGAGATGACTGTTTGGTGGGGTAGCCGCCACCGTGGACACTCTTACTGTCTAGGCGGAGCTGGGTTAGTCGCTTGAGATCATCCAGGCGACAAGCAAAGTGAGACTGTAAAGTTTAGCAAATTATCGGTGCATTGCAGGACGGTGATGTACCCATGAATTTTCGAGGTCTAGACAGATACCAAGACGCTTCAGATTCACACCGTGATCATGGAGCCTGTCGAGAACGGTGATGGTCTGAGAGCCACGAAGTGGTTGTCCGAGTATTATTTCAGGCTCCGACTCTGGATCTTCACCAGTATCCAACTCATCTGTATGTGAGCCAGAGCCCGAACCTGGGCCCGAGCCTGATTCGGCTTCCGATTCAGCCTCTGAAAACGAGTCCGAGTCTGATACTGTTTCAAAGCCAGAGTCGGAGTCTGTATCGGACCACGTGCTGGGTTCCTTCTTAGCAGTGACTTCCCGAGTAAAGATATACGAAAGGTTCGGAAGCCTCAACAGATCAAATTGCTTCAGCCCAGATTCGTAAAATGCGTAGTGATCAGTCACAATCAGCTCTTCCACAGACTGTCGAATAGTATTGAGCCAAATCCTCAGATCAGGACCGAGCCTTGAGACGACTAGTTGCCGAAGTTGCACGCATTCATCAAAAAGAGCCCAGTCAACCATCAGATACGCATCCTCGTCATCATCGCCTCTGATCAGTCCATTGAACAAATGAAGAGTTTTGAGTCCATTCATGTTGACAAGCTTCGCGAGGAAGTTGCCGCTGTCGGGTTTATCTGTGCTTGGGAAGACTCCATGGCCGAGTCTCAACGTCTCGAGCTTCAAGGGCAACTTTTCTAAAGCATGGTAACGTGTGCAAAGGTCAAGCAGGAAGTCGCCTTCACCTCGAATGAGTAATATTTCTGGGATGCCTTCGCAATCAACGTTCCAGCCCAGTCCAAGACCGAGCTTTTTCAGATGTGGAGAGGAGCTCAGAGCTGCAGTGATGCCATTGATTTCATCAGCCTCTCTTCCACCAATGTTGTAAAGCTCTAGCGATGTAAGATTGCCGAACCCGGAGACTGGAAAAGAGCAGTTAAGGGCATGCTCTTCATCATTTGTTGATTGGAATTCGAAGGACACATAGAGATGTGCGAGCGACTTGCAAGACTGGAGCGTCGTGATGAGAGTCTTGTCTCTCAGCATCGTTGACGGGATGTGATCTTCATGCGGCGAATCGTGCCAGCTACTCAGTCAGGAATTTATCGTGTTATTGCACTTCAAATTGAACGTACCTAAAACTTCTCAAATTGGGCATCTGTTTCAACACCTTCACCACGAACTTAACATACTCATCGTTCATCGAGACATCGTAGGTGAAATCTTTGAACATGAATTCTTCGACACGAACTTCAAAGTCTTTAGTATGAACCAGAGTTGGTTCAAGCCCCTGGGAATTTATTTCTTCTGGTCGAAAAGAGTTCAATTTCAGAACTTTGCGGGCGAACAAGAAAGGTGTGAAAATGTCGCAAAAGGCACGGCAAACAGCAACCAAGGCCGATAGATTCTTTGGTCCTTGGATCTAATTGTAATCTTAGCTATTATCTTATTAACAGGCTCCGATGCCCTCCCGTTTATATGCGTCGACATCGACGACCTCCAGGATCAAGCTTCAACGACAGCACGTACCTCGTCTCCAATCATGGTCCAAATCTCGGGCGGAAGACCAGAAACTGAGCCCAGTACATTTCCACGCGATGCCGCTGCCTCAGATGCCATTTTAATAATACCCGTGCTGCTTTTGTGTAAGTTGAGTTGCGTATTGAAAATTGAGAAGCTTGATGTCTTGGGAAACGCGTTGCGGGGTTCTAGCGCGATTCTCCCGCTTCACTAGCTTTGTAGTCGGAGGCTTAGTCAGCAGCTCAGATCTCTTCATGGTCAAACATCATCTGTTTTTTCAGGGCCAGAGCATTTCAGTAGGTGATAATCAAGATGAAATATCTACAACCGAAAAATATTGCTCTACTGCTTGGTGTTTAATTTCGTGTATTTATTGAACGATTTTCCTTGAGGCATAAACAGGCTTGGTCAGTACACGAACATGCAATCAGGATCTCCTAGCCTATAATTATCAAGGGTATGATGATGGCGAAGGAGACTCTTAGTCACAGAGGAGAGAAATTTATCACATCCATTGCACTCCTTCAGATCCCAGCTCGCGTTTTTTCAATTGAATTCTCTGCATTTTTTGTCGTGAACAAGTTCCGCTGCTCGAAAAAATGCTATTTATCTAATCGTACACAGTGATAGTCTTGCTCGGAAAATGCAGAATATCGGTTGGGTGACTCGAGGTAACCCCTTGTCCCCAACGTGAAGTAGCAAGCCCTGACAGAATTTTCGACTTTGCAATCTTGAACACAGAAGATCCAGCGCTGCCAAAGCCCTCATCATCCCAAAGCTGCAGGACAATGATTCAATGATTTCTTTCGCGATATCTTGGTCCTCGGCATCATATGTCCTGCGATCATCCACCTGATGACCATGTTTTGATTGTTTTCGTTCTCGTTTACATCTTCGACCCCCAACCATCCTTCGCCCGTTTACTCTTCGAAGCTATTTGCCTGTCCAGAAACAGGCAAGCCTGACTGGTTGACAAGTATATGACGGCAAAAAAACTCGATGGAAAGGATCTCTCTATGCTCCAATCTCCGAAGAACAAGCTTGCCCTTGATTTTTCGGTCTAATGAGTTCGGTGCAGGCGGACGCAAGTGGGATGGGGTCATCACCTCCCAAGAGAATGAGCCAATCTCGATGTATTGTAGAGATGTGCACAACAATGACATAATCTGGGCATACCGATAGTTAATATCTTCTTGCGTCCGGATGGATGGCCACAAGGTCTTGGGAGCAGGATATTTATTTTTTAACCACCCGTCTTCCTGTTTTGAGAGGCTCAATTGGACCAGATGCGTCATTCGTGGCAGAAGAGCGATCAAGTGAGTCTAAGAATGTTAGCAAATTGACGTATACAGCCTCAAAGTCTAGCTACTTACGAAATCGGTGTTAAAGTCAATGTTGATGGCAAGGGTGACAAGCTTGGAGCCGCCGTCGTAAAGGCGGTTCAAAATGAACTTCTGCTCGGTTTCCTCAAGATCAGCTCCGAGCTCTGTTTCTTCGTCCTCCAAGTCTCTGTGACTGAACTTCTCATGCATCCAAAACGATTTTAGATTCGACAAACGGTTGAAGTCGAATCTCTGAATAGCAGGGAGGTCCCTAAAGTTGGCGCCGGAAATAGAGAGCTCCTCAACGCAATTACCTGCACCGTACAGATAATTTGTGACTCGGGCATCGATTGTTGTTACACCTAGCTGCCGGAGTCGACAATCATCGAGCAATTCCCAAGCTGGATTTGCTAAATGTAGCCATTCACTAATATCCTGTGCCTTCTCTAGATCATCCACCACATAACCGTTGTACATTTCCAGACACTTCAGGGTACGAATGTCGAGAAGTTTTGTGAGGTAGTTCCCAGAAGCGGGAGAAGTTGGTTCGGTAAGAAACATCGAGAAGCCGAGTCGTAGGGTGTGAATCTTCAACGGCTGTGCCTTGGTTTGCGACCCGTATTGTAAGCATAGAGACTCGAGCATATTCATTTCTTCCAGGATGATTATCTCATCACGAGCCGCAGTTTCTTCCTCTTCTTGTTCTTCGCCCCAGGCAGACTTGTTTCCCACGCCGAGCCCTAGCTTCTTGAGGTGGGGGCACTCTGCCAAGGTACCCGCAATGTCCTTGAGAATGACTTGAAAATCTCCATAGAAGCTGTACAACTCGAGAGATATGAGATTCTTGAAGCCTCTCAATTCTGTTGAACAGTTATTACTCCCAAAATCTCCGTATGCCCAATCTCCAGCTCCGAATTGGATAGCAAGGTTTTGCAGGTTCTCCAAGGACTTGAAGTAATCAAGGAGATCCGTGTTTCGAAGTAGGAGGATGCATTGATGTCGGTCGCTACCATCGTCTATCCATCTAAGTGTATCAGGTTTATTGTGCTTCAAGAATTCTTTTGAGACTGCTTACTGAAGCGATCGAATATTTGACATCTTCCGCAGAATGCGTACAAGTAGCTCGGCAACCTTGTCGATCTCGTCTCCAATTGTCATTTCCCATGGGTTTGGATTCACATAAATGCA